ATTATAAATGCACCAATCACGTAGAAACAATGCATTATTAAAAATCGTAATAGATGATAAAATAGTATAAATATTGATCAAATAACAGAGCTAAGACGCTTGTTTCAAAAATGACCATCGACTTCTACTACATTCCTGGTAGCGCACCATGCAGGGCTGTCATGTTGACTGCCATAGCCCTTGGCGTGGAATTGAATTATAAGCTGACAGATGTTATGGAAGGCAAACAATTCGAACCTGAATTTTTAAAGGTAAATAGTTTGAATTTAAATTAAGAATTTAACTTTCTTAACACTTGTAAGAATAATCCAAGGAAGTTGTTAATTTATATATAGAAAGAATAACTGCAATCATTGTTTTCAAACAATCAATGAATTACAAATTCTGAATATCAATGAAAATGTGACATTATAAATAGTTTATTCTAAATATCAAAAACGTGACATAGATTATTATAAACATTGTTTCTTGAAGAATCAGTGCGAAACTTGAAAACATGAATCATTATAGAATATGGATACTTTTTGAAACTGTCAATTAATTACAAATACTAAATACCAATCAAAATGGGATATAGATTTTGATAAACATTGTTTCTAGAAAAAAGCAAATTGTAATGTTTATGAAAACAATAGTTTTTCACGATGTTTTTGTTGCATCATTATAGAACATTAATGTACAGTCATTTTCTATATAATTATAGAGAAAAGAAGCATATGTAAATAATGTGTAATGGAAATATAACTATGACAGGAAATTTCTTAATTTGAATGATGTTTATGCATTTTCCGGTCGAAATTCAAAGTAAAAGTTTACTAAAATTATGAAATAAGTATATTAGAACAATTTGTATGAATGTATTTTGTAATTTTTATTTAGATCAACCCACAACACACTATTCCAACTATCAACGATAATGGATTTAGTCTGTGGGAGAGCCGCGCCATCATGGGATACTTGGTTAACAAGTACGGCAAGGACGACTCCTTGTACCCCAAGGACCCGGTGAAGCGCGCCGTCGTTGACCAAAGGATGTTCTTCGACTTGGGAACATTGTACCAGCGTTTGGCTGATTACTACGTAAGTTACTTTCATCAATATAAGAAAAAGAAGTGTAATCAAACTAACTAACAATAAATTACAGTACCCAGTTTACTTCGCCGGTGCCGCCTTCGACCCTGAGAAGAAGACCAAGATCATGGATGCTCTCCAATTCCTGGACACCTTCTTGTCCAAGTCCACCTACGCCGCCGGTGAACAACTGACCATCGCCGACTTGACACTCGTCGCCACCGTCACCACCTTGGAAGTGGTCGACTTCGATCTGTCCTCCTTCAAGAACATCATCAGGTGGTTGGATGTCGTTAAGAAGAACGCTCCAGGTTACGAGGAGGCCAACGGCAAGAACGTTCTTGCCTTCAAGGCTCTCGTCGACAATCTGATGAAGGGCAGATAGACGATGCACCATCCGATTTCTGCACATATTTAATTCACAGAAAAAAATTAAAGAGAACTCAAATAAACGCATAATACTTTGATTTTGTAAAGTTGTCATAAAATGCACGCTCTAATAAAAGTTTTTATTTTATAAATAATACAAACGTTCTATTTCTTTATATCATACACATACATCTGGCCAATTTCTTGAGTACTTCTATAACTTATATAAATACTCAACAACAAAATCTTTTTTTTAATATAATTACTAAAAATAATATTATTGTTATTGTTTATAATTAGGATCATTATAAATAAATTAGTTATTACAAAGGAACAAAAAATAACTGCAAGCATTTGACTATAAAATAACATACATTAAAAAATAAATTCACAATTCACAATGTTGTAGAACTTTACTACGTTCCAAGTAGTCCACCATGCAGGGCCGTCCTTCTGACTGCTAGAGCCATCGATTTGAAAATGAATCTGAATTTCATAAACGTTATGGAAGGTGAACAATTTGAACCTTACTTCTTGAAGGTACATCAATTTCACTAATTATGAAACATAAATTTGTTCAACGAAACTTGTCACCTAGCAACGGTTGTCGTGGGCACATCAACAAAAAAATATTCTAATTCCAATATTTTTTGTGGGCCCCACCTCGTGGTTCCTAGATCTTACTGCAGCAAATGAATAAGACCCAGATATTATTGTATCTAATTAATATAAAAATTATAATTTTTAGATGAATCCACTTCACACTGTACCAACAATGAAGGATGGAGATCTTAGTCTAGGAGAGAGCAGAGTCATTATGACTTATTTAGTAAACAAATATGCAAAAACTGATGCACTATATCCAAAGGATCCGAAGAAACGAGCGATGGTAGATCAGAGGTTGTACTTCGAACTAGTAGCTCTGAATCCGCATCTCAGAGATTACATTGTAAATAAAATCCAAAAAGTAATACATTTTGTATATATATTTACATAATTTTTAGTTTCCAGTGTTCTTTGAGGAATCACTGCTAAACAAATCTGCGATTCCAGGTATTTGCAGTGTTCTAAACATTATTGATAATCTTTTGGGAAAAACAGCTTTCTTCGCTGGACATTGACCATTGCTGATCTATCTTTAGTCACTTACATAAGTACTTTGGATGTACTTGATTTTGATTTGTCTCAATACCAGAATATAATAAAATGGTATGAGAATGTTAAAGAATCTGCGCCCGGTTACGAGGACGAAAATGGAAAGAACGTTTTGAATTTTAGGGACAAAGTGCATGAATTATGCAAAGGAAGAACTTAAAAAGACTGTTTGGATTAATTTAAAAAAATGTTGTTATTACTCATTGTAGAAATAATGTAGATGAATAATTATTATTATGTTTAAATTTTGTTTCAAATAAATTAAACAATTATTGATAATTCTCCTTCTTTTTTGTAATATTTTCCCACCTGGGAGAGCTTCTCTGCATTTAGCTTCGATGAAGGCGAAATTGATAATTAAAATTATTAAAAACCATAGTAAAGGAATATTGAATATTGTCTATACGTTTTTATTCATTCTGTTATGTTTAAAACAAAATATTTTAATTATAAATTATATGGTAGACACGTTAAAGCAATTTATTTATTAAGAAAATTTATAATAAACTTCATTAATTTATATCGAGTTGATTGTTAATAAGTTAAATACATTCTACAAAATTAAAAGTTTTAAATATATTTGAGAAATACTACTTTTAATGTAATTAATTAAATGTATATTTAGTTCAATATTAATGTTATATAAAAAAATACTTTGACTTTCCTTTGACTTCTGTACATTTTGAATTTTTTGTATATTAATTTGAAAAATGTTATTAAATGATCTAAAAGAACGAAGTCATTAATAATAAATTTATGAAACGAAACTACTACAACTACTAATTCTTATTCTCATTCCTTATTCCAAATGATTCTAGTAGCAATATTTATATGTTAAAGAATTCTTCAATATTTTCTTTCGTCCTTTTGTTTAAATGTTGTTCATTGTTGTTATTGCTATTATTTGGTCACTAAATGAATTATTACCAAATACATATTTATGATCTCAATCATGTTTGAACTATTGAAAATAATTTTCTAGAAAATGTTCAAAATAGAGGAATTGCCATTTAACTTGGTTGGTAAGTCAAGGGATGAATCTTGATAGGCCGTACAATCCGATGATTATCAAGTTGACAAAGTTGTCTATAAATTTGTTGGGTCTAGAAATTTAGGAATTTCTGGCCACTCAAAGAGTTAAGGTAAAATTAATTCTCAATTTACAGTTCATAGTTAAAGAAAGAGAAACGAATTAAAATTTATTTGTGAACTATTGCATTTTAAATAAAATTGAGCAGATTTAGGCTTTTTGGGTTGCAGCCCATAAACACAAATAATCCAAACTTGTGTTAAATGGATAGTACTGGTGTTAGTCCAAAGCTTTAAAACAGTGTTAACTCAGAGCATTTCCTTTAGGTCATGTTAATGCTGGTCTCCACTGCCACTGTACTTGTAGGCCCTATGCAGCTTCCGCTAGTCTTCTTCTTTGCTTAGTAGCATCTCTGATATGTACGCCGCTACAATATACCAGCTCTCCGCACTCTTCAGCATTTCACTGATAACATTTTATGGACTCCCAATTCTGCCTCCGCCTTGTGCTTCCTTCCAAACCATCTGCAGCATCTAAATAGCGTGTGCTCAGGGCTATCGTCCTCCTCGCAGTACCAGCACCTTTCATCATCCTTCTTCGCAATGAAGTGCAGGTACTTGCCAAAGCATCCATGGCCAGACAGCGCCTGGCTCAGGTGAAATGTTGTTTCACCGTGCTTTATGCTTAACCAAGGGCCTATTTGTGGGATAAGGCGCCGAGTCCAGGCTTCTTTCTCCGATCTGTGCCATTTATCTTGCCATTTTTGCAGCAGTTTGTCTCTAGCATCCGCTTTGGTCGCGCCCCTCTGCCTCTCACCTCTCCCCAGAACAAGGAGCTCTATTGGTGGCACACCAGCTATTACCTACACTGCGTCTCGGAAAATTGTCCTATACGCGCTGCATATCCTAATTGCTCCTCTTCGTTGGACCGTTTCTAGCGCTTTCTTATAGCTTAAAACTGTCATTGCTTGTTCCCATATAGGAGCTTGCTAGACTTCGGCAGGAATTTAATGACTTTTTTCGGTGTTATTTCTGTGCCTGATATGGTAAATTTTATTGGTCTTGTTTTCCTCCTTCCGATCAGTAGCACCGCTTCTGTTTTTTTCTGGCGCGAGTAAACAATGTTAATCCAGGATCCTCAAATAGTGTTAGTCCAGAGCTCTCAAAACAGTGTCAATCCAAGGCCCTCAAACAGTGTTAGCTCAAAATCTCTAAAGAGTGTTAGTCCAGGTCCAACAAACAGTATGAGCCCATAGTCCCATAAGCTAAAGGTCTTGATAATATTGAAGATACATTTTTATTTTTATATCTAACGAAGCAGTAACAATAATAGAGCAATTATATAAATATATCATAATTTGTATTTCCATTATTATTGTATTTTTACTAATTGGACTAATTATTATAAATGCACCAATCACGTAGAAACAATGCATTATTAAAACTCGTAATAGATGATAAAATAGTATAAATATTGATCAAAATAACAGAGCTAAGACACTTGTTTCAAAAATGACCATCGACTTCTACTACGTTCCTGGTAGCGCACCTTGCAGGGCTGTCATGTTGACTGCCATAGCCCTTGGCGTGGAATTGAATTATAAGCTGACAGATCTTATGGAAGGCAAACAATTCGAACCTGAATTTTTAAAGGTAAATAGTTTGAATTTAACTTTCTTAACACTTGTAAGAATAAGCCAAGGAAGTTGTTAATTTATATATAGAAAGAATAACTGCAATCATTATTTTCTTTCAGCTAAATCCATTGCACACTGTACCAACAATTNNNATCCCAAGAAGAGAGCAATGGTTGATCAAAGACTATATTTTGAAGTCATCGCTTTATACCCACAACTGACTGACTACTATGTAAATACATATAAACAAAAATTCAAAATAATTATTAAATAACATGCAATTTCAGTTTCCAGTGTTCTTTGAGAACTCTACATTAAACAAAGCCGCGATTCCAAAGATCCATAAGGTTCTCAAGATGATTGAAAATTTCTTAACAGAAAACACTTTCATAGCTGGAAGTACTTTGACGATTGCTGATCTTTCTCTAGTGGCATACATAAGTTCTTTGGATGAACTGGATTTTGATATGTCACAGTATCAGCACATACTGAAATGGTATAAGAAAGTCAAGGAAACTGCACCTGGATACGAAGAGGCAAATGGAAAGAACGTATTGATTTTCAAGAAAATGGTTCATGATTTATCCAAGGGAAGAACTTAAACTATCAACGTTTAATTAAATAGTAAAACTGCGAGTTTGATAGAATTAGTGTTATGAATTCATGTAATTAGATGAAATAGAAATCAAATAAATAGAAGGATCTATAAATATTTTTTGTTTAATTAACTCCAATTACTTTTCCATACTTTTAAATATTTTAAATTAATGTTGGTTGAGTAGTATAATTTTCCTTTGACTTTGGTAAACAAGAAGTTGCCTATTCATATTTAACTAAAATATAAATCATATTTATAATAGTTTTGTATCAGAAATAATAAGTTTGTATAAGAATATAAGTAATTTATTATATAACATTTTCATATATTTAAAATTACTGTATAAAATTGGTACTTTTAAATTTTCCATATGGTTGTATAACGAGTTGCCTAATCTACATGTAAACAAATAATAAACAAGTGCGGTTCGTTGCAAAGATCAATAATAAATATCTGTTTATTGTGGTTACGTTCGCTGTGAATCGTGCAGAATTGAATCGAAAATGAGTCGGAGGAAGAAGGCGAAGGTATGATTCATAGAAACCACTTGAATGTGTTAATGCTAGAGCCTTTTGCAGGTTGAGTACAGGGAGATGGAGGATAAATACAATAACCTCGAAGAAGAGATGGAGGCTGCAGACAGCAGACCCAGGGTTACATTGAATGAGAAGAAGCAGAGTCCGACAGTGAGAGGTCCAAAGAAGGATGTGAAAAAGGAGGAGGTGAAACGAGAGATCAAAAGGGATGAACCAAAGAAGGATCTGAAGAAGAGTGATGTGAAGAAAGAAGAGATCAAAAAGGATGAAAGCAAGAAAGAGATTATTAAAAAGGAAGACAGCGCTAAGAAAGAGGTGAAAGTGGATGAGAGAAGGAAATTTGATGAAGGGGAATCTGAATTGGATGATCCTATTATTAAGGATTTATTCTCAGGATTGGAAGGAGCAGCTTTCCAGAGCAGAATGCCTTTTGATAAAATGACCTCTACAGAGGCTGCTTGCTTCCCGGACATCTCACAAGCAGCACTGCAGACTGTCAAGGTGTATTTGCATATAAGGAACAGAATTTTGCAGCTTTGGCTGGATAATCCTAAGCAGCAGCTTATTGTTGAACAGGCCATGGAGAAGGTAGAACCTCCTTTTAACAGTGATGTCACTTTGCTTAAAAGAGTGCACACGTTTTTGGAGAGGAATGGTTTTATTAATTTCGGGGTATTCACGAGATTGAAACCTTTACCTAAACAGAAGTATGGGAAGGTAATTGTCATTGGAGCAGGTATTGCTGGGTTAGCTGCTGCTCAGCAACTGCAGCAATTTGGTCTGGAAGTTATCGTATTGGAAGCTAGAGATCGCGTCGGTGGACGCATTGCCACTTTCAGAAAAGGTACTATTCAGGTTTCAGTTTTGAGAATTTGACTAATGATATTTTTTAAGGTAATTACATTGCGGATTTGGGTGCGATGGTTGTAACTGGTCTTGGAGGAAACCCTGTGACTGTTTTGAGTAAGCAGATTGATATGGAGCTGCACAGGATCAGACAAAAATGCCCACTATACCAGTCCACTGGCGTCACAGTGGACAAGGATAAGGACGAGATGGTGGAGAGAGAATTTAATCGACTGCTTGAAGCAACATCCTATTTGTCTCACCAATTGGATTTCAATTACGCCGGCAATAAGCCGGTAAGCCTCGGGCAGGCCTTGGAATGGGTTATAAAGCTTCAGGAGAAGCACAACAAGGAGAAACAGATCCAGCACTTGCAGGCTGTAATATCGCTGCAGGACAAGTTGAAAAGCAATCAGCAGCATCTGGTTGAGGTGAAAGAAAATATGAAGGAGATGAATGTGCGGCTCAAGGAATGGGAGCTGATCGAGAAACGGGATATTAAAACGGAGTTTCAATATCGTTGCACTTTAAAGGATCTTAAATCTAGCTCTAAGGAATGGGATCAGCTGCAGGAGCAGGCGCAGGAGATCGAGGAGAAGCTTAAAGCTTTGGAATCAAATCCACCCAGGTACTTATCCTTACTAAATTCCTTAAATAATAATTTAATAATGAATTTTCGTTTTAGTGATGTATACCTTTCATCGAAGGACCGACAGATTTTGGATTGGCACTTCGCTAATCTCGAGTTCGCAAATGCAACGCCTTTATCCAACCTATCGCTGAAGCACTGGGACCAGGACGACGACTTCGAGTTCACCGGGAATCATTTAACAGGTGAGTTTGTTGTTTTTATTCTACAAAACGTGAATCATTTCGCTCGCAAGAAATGAGGGGAGTTTCGAGAAACGCTCTCGGGATGGGAATTAACACGAGGCTTGCATGTTTTTAATTCGTGTCATTAAGAATATAAGTCGTCCGCAGATAAAAAAAGTATTTAATTACAATTTGCGGAGAAAAAGGGGGACATTTTTTTTGTTGCTGTTGTCCAAAAGATAAGGCGAATGGAGCTGACGTGAATAATCGCACGCAGGCGGATTCAAATCTGTGGCTGTGTTATTTTTCTTGATTCCACGGGCCATGGGAAAAGGACGGTTTAAACAAATTTTAAATGCGTTTCGTCTTTTTGCACGCACGTCTCCCTTTTTGTCGCTCCCTTTTTTTGCATGAGCACTTGCGTTACTAATTACTACAACTCTTTGTACGTTTTATATGGTAAATTATATAGCGTTTGTGCACACCGTTACATGCACTCCTCCCCAGCACATTGTTACTCCTATGTTTGCTAGAAGGCTTTATCATTGAGATATCGAATACCTTCGATAATTATATCTCAATACTGTTTTATTTGTTATATAATATAAGTGTTACACTATTATTTCGTTTTGATGGATTATATCAAAACATTAAAAAATATATAAAAACATATTTATTCTAACTTTAAAACTAGAGACTTAATCATTTAAATGCTAATTAAAATGTGTTAAAATCTACTATTAAAAATTGTGGAATTTTTCTTCAACAATAATTTGCACTTCAAATAGTAATAGGTCTTCTTCATTTGTGAGTTCTTCCATGCGTGCTTCAAGTAGATCATTTACATCAGTTACAGAGACATCTAGTTTGAAATATAATTATCGCTCTTGTATTCTGCTCTATAATTACTCTATAATTATTCAAACTTAGAAAAAAAAATAAATAAATAAGGGGGTAGAAAAACATTTCTTAAGCTCGTAATATATAGCTTTTATGAATAATCATTTGAGGTAAAATTGAAGAGTTTTTGCATACAATGAAGTAGGAAAATGTATGTTAATCGAATAGTCAATTTGTAAATGTATATATTTTTGATACTCTTCCGTCTTTTTAATCGTACGTTCATACGAACGTCGCATCTTATACATAAACATTACAAGTGATGTTTGTTTTTCTAAAATTATGTTTAGAAAAATAGCTGATTGGAACAGAAATAGTAATAAATAAGGGCGTAGAAAAACATTCCTAATTTATAGCTTCTATAAGTAACAATTTCAGGTGAAACTGCAGTAAAGTAGGAAAATGTATCTCATTATATAATGTATCGTATTATATAATTTTTGATACCTTGTGTCTTTTCAATCGTACGTACCTTTATACGAACGTTGTATCATATGCAGACATTACAAGTGATGTTTATTTTTTCTAAAATTATGTTTAGAAAAGTAGTTGACTGCAACAGAAGTAATAATAAATAAGATCTTAGAAAAATATTCATTAAGCTCCTAATTTATAGCTTCTATAAGTAATCATTTGAGGTGGAACTGCAGAGTTGTTTTTTGTAGTCAGCTTTCAATTAGTGTATATCGTTCATGCAGTAAAATGTTTGTTAATCAGATAGTCAATTTCTAAATACAGTTAATACGCTTAACGAGTTTAATCCGTTCTAAAATTAAAATACTCCTATAGTGAAACATATTCAAAATACACATAATATGTGTATACAAGTTTTAATGATGATGTAGCAGGCGCACATCGGAGACTTCTCATCGTTACTCGTTATGCGAAACCTCGCTCGTTAAGCGAGTCATTTTTCTTACCATTTATTTTGCTCGTTAAGCGAGGTTCCACTGTATTTAGAAATTGACTATCTGATTATCAAACATTTTACTGCATGAACGATATACATGTGTCACTGTCTTGAACGTACGTTCATACGACCGTCGCATCATATTCATAAACATTAAAATTGGTGATTTGTTCCTAAAATTAGGTTTAAACTTAAAATATCTGACTGGTACAAAAGTAGAAATACACAAAAAATAATGATGAGTTATAAATTACGATGCACGTATTATCGAAAGTACGTTAAAATAATGAATGTCCAAATAGCTCTGACTATATAAATGTAATGAATGTGTATGAAAATGGTATTATTATTATTGTTCTTTGGGAGTGTTGGCTTTTGGATGTAATAGGTGAACAGTTTCTCATCACCCTGTATAAGGCGAGAACGAGAAAGGGTCACGGGGCTCCTTGGGCATTGTTCTCGAAGCCATCTTAAACTGTTCAGCGGCATTTTTTTTGCGCCTGCCGTTGTTTTTGGTCGTTGCTCGAACTGGGAGAGTGTGTAATTAAGAAGGTGATGTGATGAATGTTCCTCGGAGGGTACTTCGTTTTTTCTTTCTTTTCCTGTTCTCTCTCATATGATAGGGGGGGCTCCGCGGAGGGAAAACCGCTATGCCAATATAAGTTTAAAACAAAAGGTGCGCGCTCGGCGAAACTGTCTCATTATCCCGTAATGGTGGTTTCTGTTCTGACCACACGGCGATTACGGGAATACCGAGGGCCGTGGTCTCGTTATTCGATAAATTACGATAATGCTCGGCCATCGTTGCTGCTCATATGTACTTTACCGATATTGAGTTTGAGAGCAAATACACACACCCGGCAGATACACGAAAAAAAAATCTAAAGAAAATTGATCATCAGCAATAGATCTATTTAAGTTAAGGATCATATCAGTTCTACCAGATTGCATTCCTACTTATATATAACCTTCCTTCAGAAATCATATAGTCTTTGATGCAATTCCAATGCGGAAATCTACCGTTTATATTGTATGAATGAAAATAAATATTTGATTTGTTTTATTAACAAGTCATTCTAGTTGACTTTAATTCCAAATAACTATTGTTTTTTATGGCTTCGACTGTTATGGTAAAATAGACAGTAGACAGAATGTACGTATAAATCTTGTTGTTATAATAACTAATTATTAAAGTTTAACATTATACCCTTATTTTAATTCATTATTTACAATTATTCGTTGTTTCATATTATTTGCACTAAATGTTACTATTCCTACATACTTTGTTAACTCAATAAATAAAAAAACTGTGTATAGATATTTCTATACTCGCAAATTATATATTAGTAAGTTTGCATATTGCATCATGCAAATCTTTTGATCTTCGGGCTAATAACAGTATTTCTGTTGATAATGTATATATTTCAAATATGCATAGTTTTGTATTTTATATTTGAATTTACTGTTTGTTCCGTGTTAAGTAACATCTTGACTTGGTAATATTTAGTTAATATTGAAAGTATTTTTTTTTGTAATGACATATTTTGTCTTAATAATGAAATATACTGAAATTAAATTAGAAATAATTTGTTTTATATTTAAGAATAGTTAAATTATTGTCATTTAGCCTCAACATGAATATTTTATAATAAATAATGATTTGTATTATTAGATCATTGCTATTGTAAAATTCTTAAGTATATATGAAAATAGTCTCCTTATTGAGAAAGTAAGAGGTTGCTGGAAGTAGGATGCAATAAATCATTAACTTATCGTGATATGTAAATACTTTATTAATCATAGATATTAATACATTAAAGGAAATGAAAATAATAATAACTTTAGTAAAGAGCGATAAATAATAGTTTTGAGATAACTGCAAAAATTATGAAGATTTTACATAAATATTCATATCTTTAATCTTAGGATTATATTAACATTAATAACTATATTTATTGCAACAATTATACAAAGAACTTTATACTTATTAGAAAGATATTAATTATGAATTAATCAATCAAGATTATAAAAAAAAAAATCGTCTACAAAATAAATCAAGACACGTTTTTAATCGATGGATTAACATTAGCAATCTTAATCGTGGTTAATTTTAATATTATACTGATTTGGTTCATATTATTTGTAGATTTAATTTTTATAATCTAATTTTCTTTATGTGTATTTTTATAGAGATTACAATAATTTTCTAACAATAATGTATTATGTTGTGGGTCACATATAATTAAGTGATTGTATTCATACTTTGAATTATTACAAGAATTTACTTTTTTATATATAAATCTTATGGATAACCTCGGGTTGAATGTTAACACTAAGCCTGCAGCATATGGCACTCTCCTGTCGAGAACAAACCAAACAAAAAAATATACAATCATCCATAACTGTGTGTAAGGTCTGTGGTTAGTTTACTGCGGTGTCCGTTTTGCGATTCAATTGAAAGTGGTACATGTGTGTAAAATCATTTAGATCATGTGCACGTATTGGTTTTATAAGTTTATAATATGCAAATGACCGGCCGTTCGCTGCGAGTCCGGCACCAGCTATGGCTGCAAAACGTTCGAGGGACATTGATTTCGTGGCATTTTATTAACATAAATACGGGAATTGAGACGTCTTACGTAAAACGACCATGGAATAGTTCCGAGCTCACCCGCAACCACCCATAAATCACTCGTATACAATATTAGAAGGAAAGTGAAAGGATTGTGTAATCCACCCTCTCGCGTACACCTAAACCAGGAGCTCCAACTGTCAACTACTTCAAAAATTTCTTCAACTTTACTATCACATTGTCTATGTAGTTGGTGTCAGGTTTATGATTAGTTTTAAATCTACAAAGAAATCTAAACGTTATGTATCAATTTACTTTAAACTTTAATCGATTTTGGAAAAGTTTGTACTTATCCAAAAGTAACTTAAAAGCTTTATAAAAAGTGTATTGGATCAACTGACAATTTAAAAACCATTGTTATATCATCTACTCTGGAGACAACTGACTTAGGCTATCACTATTTCGATGTAGTATAGGAAGATTTAGGTTGTAAGGAAGGGTTGGATGAAGAGAAAAGGTGTATCATATATGCATTCGTGCAGAGGTCCATTGTGAGTGCGTGTACGTTTGTGTATTTTAAGGGTTGGGGGGTCTTCGGTTCGATGAGAATGGAAATGATGATGCGGCGCGATCGTTAAA